TATATATATATATGTGTGTGTGTGTGTGTGTGTGTGTGTATATATATATTTGTGTGTGTGTATGTGTGTGAGTATGTAGACTATTAAAAAAAAAAGAAGACATTTTTTTCATATCTTTAGTTTAAATTTCATTTTTGTAAGAAAGGTATGTAGTGAAAAATCCCTATTGAAAGACAGAATAAATTTATAGATGTGATAAACATATTTTAAAACTGTCAATATCTACATGTATAAGTTCTATGTTTATGCGAATATTTATCTACAATAGTATACATTAAGTTATGAAAGTTAGTTAAAACCTTAAAAGAATTCTTCAGTTTTTATGGCAATTGTATTTATTATTATTATATCCTCATCATCATTATATTTTGATTTCTGCTATGGTCACACTACCTACTAAGTCTGTCAGAAAGACCTAAGGCAGGTAATGGTGGGTTGTTAAGGCTACATTTCATGATTTGTTTTCCTAATTTGCATAATGTCACTAGCGTTACATGGATGAAGTTCTTAGCGTGTAGGTTGTACTTTACAAAGAATATTTTTTTGTATTTCTCTTAATATTGTATTTCCAGGGATTTTTTCAATGTGTTGTTGTGTTCCTTTTTTATCATTCCAAGCACACTTACTATTATCAGTATCATACTTGTCTTCCATTTCCACATTTTTTTCTATTTCAATTTCCAGGTCTTCATACTTTGATAGTTTTTCAAATTCCTTGGTTGCTATGCTACAGTTCACTGGGCAAGCTATATCAATTAATAGAAAAGTTTTTTCTTTTCATTTTCTGACATTTATGCCCAACCTATTTTCTTCAATTTTCCTGTCTGTAAAGGTGTTGTAATCCCATATTATTATTATTATTGTTTTTATTTCCTTTGATTTCTGGCATGTATACAGGTTAGAAATTTCATCATGACACTTCCCACTGACAAAAAAAAAATATTTTGCAGAGATAAAGTTCTTCTTAAAGTGTGGTCTGTACTTGTGAGAACAATTTTTTTGTATTTCTTTGAGGCATGGGCTTCCAGGAATCCCTTCAATTAGCCTACTGGAATCTTTTCCAACCAATCCTAGGGCTCCAACTAGAAAAGCGATTGTTGATGTTCCCATGTGCCACATTTTTGAGATTTCGATTTCATGGTCCTTGTATTTTGACAGCTTTTTGAATATCTTCAAAGATATATTGCAGTCTGCAGGGACTGCCATATCAATAAGGAGGCACTTTTTATTTTATTATCATTATTATTATTATTATTATTATTATTATTATTATTCTGTATTGAGCTTTTCAAACAAGTCAATATTTTGCGTGGATTACTGCTGTCACATCTGGTCTGGTGCTTCTGCTATGTATTTAGAGATTCTTAATGAAATCCAAAGAAGAATTTGCAATATTAATGGTCCTGACCTAGCATCTCAGCTTCAGTCATTTTCCCATTGCTGTAATCTAGTTTTTTTCCTGTGTCTTTTCTATAAATATTTTCATAGTAATTGTTCTGATGAACTTTCCTCTTTGGTACCTAAGTTCAGTACTAGGCTGCTGGCAAGGTCTCCCTTCATTTTACAATTGAAATGGCCACTAGATGTAACAATATTCTCTATACTCATAGTTTCTTTTCTCAAACTTCTCACTTGTTGAACTCTCTTGGAGCTGCCTGCTTTCCAGTCAACTTTAATCTTCAAAAAAATTTAAATTGTTATCATTTGTCTTCTTAAGTCCTGTTCATTTATTGTTCTCCCTCCTTAATAATGTTTTCTTTTTTCTCATAGTCTTTCACAAATCAGCAACCCCTTGTATTTTAATGTCTTTAATGACATGCTTTGGGTGAAATGATAAAAAAAAATATAATTGCACAATGTTGATGAGGCATAGCGTGAAAGTATTTGATAACTTTTACTGGATAACAAATGACCAAGTATTCCTCTGGATTTTAGCTGGTTTTAGTAGGTGGTGTGATGGGTCTTAACTGGGAAGGTTAAAGTTGGAGGAACTAAGCATTGGAGCTCATTTGAACATTTTCCATGGAAATAGTGGTAGATTGGTGAGAGGTGTGCAATGTTTCATCTGTGAGAAAGGTGGAAAATTGCTCATAATCCATAAGTCCATGATTATCATCTAGATAGTTTTAAATCTTACTTGGATTCCTGATTCTTCCAATCTCCTTGTATGTTTCTATTTGACTCTTCCAAGTGCTGTAACAATGAAGGGGATATTGTCACATTCACTTGCCACATTGTTTTCAATTTACCTTGTAAGGTGTGGATGTTTTGAAACTTTGATCTTTCTTCACTAAAATATATTCAGATAAATTATCTGGATTTAATGATTTATTTGAGTTTAGTAGGTGCTATATTCTTTATATATATATATATATATATATATATATATATATATATATATATATATATGTGTGTGTGTGTGTGTGAAATGTCTATATATATATATATATATATATATATATATATATATATATATATAATACATTTGCAAAATGTGTATGTAAATATATATATATATATATATATATATATATATATATATATATATATATTTTTTTAATATATATTATTTATATATTATATATCCATGGTACTTATTTGAAAGTGCTCAATATCAGTGATAGTGCTAACATATTTAGTTGTATTGATGTGAGTTTGTGACCCTGGATTTCACACTATTTGCAATCGTCAGACAAATTGTCTGACGATCACAAATAGTGTGAAACCCAGGGTCACAAACTCACATCAATACAACTAAATATATATATATATATATATATATATATACTATTGTGCATCCTATAAAAAGCACATGCCACTCAGTGAAGAGCTTTTTAATCATTTCACCCCAAGGAAAGCAATAATATCACTAAGATGCAAGGTGCTACTTTTAGTAAAACAGAATGAGAAGACTTTAGTAAGGAGAATGGACAATAATAGAAAAGGCTTCAGGAAGACAACCTCATGAGGTACGTTGCTTGCTTTTTTCCTATGCTCCTCTTACCTTTAATATATCCTGTGATTGTCAAATTCTACAAGCCCTCTTTCCTCGTGATATGTTTCTGAAATTTCAAATATCTCATTATTATTCTACGTATAATTATCCTTTTTGTTTCCAGTTTCTCTGAAAAATTTCCCTGTTGCTCACATGGTCAATTCATGGAATTCTCAACATCCTTGTGTAACACCATATCTTAGTTGCCTCTAGTTTTTTTTTTTTTCATCTGTGAGGAAATTGTTCAGCATTCATTGTCATATAAGAGGACCAATATTATATAGCAGTTAAGCTCTCTTTTTTCTATTGCAAATAAAACATTCCCATTTCTTAATACTATGCTGCGCATTTGGGATGAATGTGTCACTATTCCAATTCCCCTTCCCTGATATTAAAATTCTGTACTTGCTTTATTTTGAACTCTCCAGTCTGTATCTTGCTTCTTGTGCTGTTCTTCTTGATGATAATACATTTTTGCTTAAAATGAGGATATTATCAAAAATAATGATATTCTAACAATATATAAAAATAATGTAAAAATAACAAGATGAAGGTATTATTATTTTATGCAGCAATTGTTTCATTTCCTTTTCCTCTTTCAATGGAAATAAGTTTGTACTTAAAATTAGGGCAGCTGATTCTGATTGCCCTAACATAAATCTCTCTACTATGTGCAGTTTTTGCTGTGTTGGAAACAAACACACCCAAAATAAAAATTAGAGCATTATGGTATAAATTTAGATAATGTCATTTAACACTGACAAAATTTATTTTCAAAAGGCAACAATCATTATTTTCCTCGTAATATTTTCATCTAATACAAGGCCCAATAGCCACTCAAAGTAGAGGGTTTCTGAATGACTTTGTTGTAAGTGTGTAAAGTGAGAAGGTAAGAACTGCATATGAAGTGCATCTAAAGAAGTGCAAATATTGGCTAACCTTAAATTGTCAAGGGCAGATAATCATATCACTTATTTATCATGTCTGTTTGTTGGCCTCAATGATGCTTCCTTACATAGGCAACAATGCAGATGAAGCATTCTATGAATGTTAATAATGTGGGTAACATTCTCCATTTCCTTGCCACACAGTCTACACTTGTTTGAATTCATTTGGTGGCAAATATTCATCCACTGATTGACGGATTTGGTTTTTTTATGGCCTATCAACATTTTGTGGGTTATTTAAAGTCAGATCATATTTTTGTATTGTAAGAATAATTTTTTCTTTTGAAAGTGAATATTGCATTAACAGTTTCTTGAGAATAAAATTGATTTTTTTTCCAGATAAAAGTCCTGCGATTTAACCCATAGATGCAAGAAGAGGGATTCATACCTTTCCCAACTGGTATTTGCATATAAGTGAGTGTTAGTGATTGGGAAAGTATCCTCTTGGGAGTCTATTCCACAAAGTAACAGTTCTGTTTCAGGAGAATTATTTCTTTACAGTTGGAATATGAGGAAAATAAGGATGAGTTGACCTTGTGTATATGTCATAGTGGGTCCTAGCTGTGAAGGTCTGAACTGGTAGAAAAAAAAAAAGATGTAACTCAACTGAATATTTGCTCTGAAAATAGCCAAAGAGTAGTGAGAACCTAGCAGTGTCTTATCTCTGGGAAAGGAATTGTAGAATGGAAAAAATTAACACCCACAGCGTCGTATAGATGCTTTTGAACTCAGTCAAGACTAGAAAGTGAGGATTGGATAGCTTCCATCAAAATACTTCATTTTTGGTTTGATATGACTTTTGTTTATCTGTAAAATGAATTTAGGTGTTTTAAGATATGTCATAAATAAAATATTTGATCTAGAGTGGAAAAAGAAAAACAATTTAAGATAACATGAAGTTTTGTCTTTGAGATTTGAGAGTCATCATAACTGAAGTGGCAAGTGCTACAAAAATGAAAAACAGGAAAAATAACAAAATATTGAAGACTACCATATTTGAGAGACAACTGCTGAAGGCTAGAGTTTGTACTGATTGAAACATTGTGGCAAAGCCATCTATGCTTTTCAAAAATCTGGAAAGGTTTTAGAAAGTAAAAATCACCACTCCTTCACCTATATGTAATAACATCTGTTTTCCTCTTCTATCTCAGTCTATTCATATCTGTTTCAGCCTATTCATATCTCTATTCTATCTATCTATCTATCTATCTCTCTATCTCTATCTATCTATCTATCTATCTATCTATCTATCTGTCTATTCTATCACCTTATCTATCGCTGTCATATCTATCTATCTATCTATCTATCTATCTATCTTCATCTATCTATCTATCTATTCTATTCTATTCATATCTATCTATCTATCTATCTATCTATCGCTGTCATTATTTCTATCTCAGTCTATTCATATCTATCTCATTTATCTATCTATCTATCTATCTCTTAGTCTATTCATATCTGTTTCTATTTATATCTGTCTCATTCTATTCATATCTATCTATCTATCTATCTATCTATCTCAGTTTATTCATTTCTATCTCAGTCTATTCATATCTATCTCAGTTTATTCTTATCTATCTCAATCTATTCATATCTATCTATCTTAGTCTATTCATATCTGTCTCAGTCTATTTATATCTGTCTCATTCTATTCATATCTATCTATCTATCTATCTATCTATCTATCTATCTATCTATCTATCTATCTATCTATCTATCTGTGTCATGTCATGAGTGATCATAGCTGTCCACTGTATTTGGTAAGCTTAGATAACATTTCCAAAATTAACACTAACTTATATTTACCAGTGATTGGTGGCCACACTCTTAACAATTAAAGATATGCAGATGAAATAGTGTTGATAGCAGACACAGAAAGAAAACTACATGAACTCCTACAGATGGTAGTGAAGGAAAGCAAAAAAAAGGACTAAACATCATAGAAGATGAAATTGTATTGGACCTCCTTGACATCAAAGGAAAACAACTTTAATAGAATATATAAAGTTTCTTTGTCATAATAAAGGAAATATATTGCTTGATTGGGAAAGTTCTTCAATGACCTTTTTGCCAAAAATTTAGCAAGAGTTAAAAAAGTTACATTCTATACAGCTGATCTTATGAGGTATTTCTTTAAATAATTTTTTAGGCAAAACTAAATGTTTTTTGTTTTAAACATATTTAAAGTACTTATTACAATTGGTACTTCTTAAATAGCATCCAAATTCTTTCTTTCTTTTTAAGTGGCATGTCCTTTCAAGACGTAGGCGATCATGGCTCTCCACTTCCTCCTATCCCTTACAGCTTTCAACAAGTTCCTTCCCTCTGCTACCTCTCCCGGACCACATTCTGTCAACCACTTACTTAAGCCTGCTAGGTATGTCATGCATTGTCTCTCTTTCCCTCTATTCGACCCATGAGTATCACATTCTCCAGGCCTTCTTTCCTCATTATGCATCCCAGAAACTTAAGCTGCCTCTTCCTGATGTTAACTCTAAGCCTCCTCCTTGCATCTAAATTCTACAAATATTAAATCATGTCTTTTCCCTTCATTGGTTTAAAGTGTTAAAGTTAACAAGTCAGGATCCTTGTAGAGCTTTCAACTATAAAAACTTACAATGACAAAAACATATATGTATTATGTATTTTGTTTGTGGGTTGCTTTTTAGCTGTTATTCTCTTTGCAATGAGCAAAAAGGGAAATTGAGAAAAAAAATTATTTCATTCTTATGGCAAAAAAAAAAAAATTCAATGAGCAAATTTGTTTTTGTTTTCATCTTTTTCAATGAATCTGTATTTTTTTTTGTAACCAAATTATTTTTTACTTCAGACAGGAAATTTTTTACAGGTCTTCATGGCTCTGTTTACTTACATAAAAAACTATTTTTAAAAGAGGGAAAAGATTTTATAAATAAATAAGTAAATGCATATGTGAATCTGTGTATAATCATACATAGATACATACATACATATGCACATGCACACACACATATGTATATATATTTATCTATTTTATATATGCATATTTATGCGCAAAGATATATATTGATTTATTTATATTTACATATATGCATATATAAACATTTTGCTTACATATGAATATGTGTAAAGATCTATACGTATACATATATATATATATATATATATATATATATATATATATATATATATACATACATACATACATACATACATACATACACATACAGGGTGCAATGGGTAAATTTTTGGCCATTTTATATTTTTAATTTTGTGCATGCAGGTAGTAGCTTTTGATTTCACACAATATAGTAGGGTCAGTTGATCACACTCTGTAAGAAAAAGACTACCATGATGGAATTCACAGAAGTTTGGAAATGGCATGCTGTACTGTTTGAAGCTCCAATACGAGCATTTTAAAGTATTTGGGTGTCAATCTAAGGACAGTGCAGAGAATTCAAAAAGAGTTGTATCAGTTTAATGGTGATTACGAAGGTACAGCAGACTGGAAAAGACACTCTGATCATTCTAATAATAAAAAATACCAAATTTGTTGATGTGGGCCTCAGACTCAACACAGAGGCCTACATTAAGTGCCTTGAAGGGGTACAGCTACCCTGGGTCAAGAGGGTCAACAGTACTCTGCACCATGCCACACAAACAGGAGAAACCCATCATGGCTGTCAGACATTTTCTGCAACCATATCAGCCCTTACATCTGGCCATCTAATTCCCCAAACTGAATTCCCTTGATTATTATGTGTGAGGCACAGTTGAATGGGAGACCGACAAAACTCCTTGATACAACAAAGATGAACTGAAGTCAAGGAATATGCCAGACAGTCCAGAAGAATTGCAGGCGATTCCAAAATCAACTGGAAGCCGTGGTTGAAGCCAATGATGATTTTATCAAAGAAATTTTCTTTTCTGTATTTCAAGATATTTTTGTGTAATTTTGGTAAATGTATCTGTTAAAATCAGATGTCAGTATTATTTTCATTTTTGTGAAATTTAGGTGACAATTTATCCATCGCACACTGTATATATATATATATATATATATATATATATATATATATATATAATTATATATATATATATATATATAATCATATAGAACTCAATATCCAGGATAGAATATAGAGTAGATATATATATATATATATATATATATATATATATATATATATATATATATATATATATATATATATATATATATATATATATATATATATATATATATATATATATATATATATATATATATATATATATATATATATATATATATATATATATATCAAGAAGTACAAACATATAAATTTTACTTTAAATCTTATTTTTAGAGGATACCCATATTTGAGTAGACTCTTCATTTATTTTAAACAGAAAATTTATTTTTATCTACCAGCCTGAATATTAAATAATGAAAATGTTTTCTCCAGCATTGACTCAAATATGAGTATCCACTAATAATAACATTTAAACTACAAATATATATATATATATATATATTTACTTGCTAATATATATATACACTACAGTTCAAATGTTTCAGGCCACCCTTGTTAATTTTTTAAAATTGGCACAAAAAAACATTTCATTTGGTGTTTGTTTTGATGTTTATTTTCGTTTTCTCCACACATGTTCAGATCCATTTTTGTCTCCAAATAAAAATTGAAATATTTAAGAGAAGCCTTGGATCCCAATGCATCTTTGTCCAGCTGCAAGTAAAAAACAAAAGAATTTCCTACTAGAGCAGAATATATGGAAGACAGGAACAACATATAATCTATAAGAGTATGAGACATAGTGATTTCTAAGACATCATACTCTGATAGTATTAGACGATCCTATAAATCATTTCAGTATTTAATCTATTACCATTCCATATTTACTTTTTGGAATATTACATTTCTGTTTTAATACCTCCCATTTATTACAAACCATGAGTTTCAGAGAGCTGTCTGAAGATATGAGAAAAATGAGAGTATCATTCAGAAATAATAGTCTATTATATTTAACGAAATCTATTAAAAAAATCTGCATTCCAAATATTCAATGTGTGCATAAGTTTATGTGCATTTGTGTGTATTTGCATGTGTGTATATGACTGCATACATAAAGAAAAGTGTTTGCGGTACCTGTTATATAATTAGCACTCTACATAGATACTTATGGATGAGAATGTAAATGTCAATATATATATATATATATATATATATATATATATATATATATACATACATATATATATATATATATATATATATATATATATATATATATATATATATATATATATATATATATATATATATATATATATATATATATATATACATATATATATATATATATATATATTCTACATATATATACGGTTTTTTGTTTTGTTTTTTTTTTTACAAAAGATCTATAACTTGGGATTAAAACAAGAAAAAACCTGGGAGGCATTTTTACTTTCATTTGACTCACTTTTTTTTCTCATTTAGAGTAAATTTTTTTCTTTCCTCTGGCTTCTTTAAATAATTTCTGGGTTTATTTTTTTTTTACTTCAGTTTATTTCTTGCTTCTAATATCCGGGGTAATTTTTTCTTTTACCTTCTTTTTTCTGTATTCTGAAATTGAATGTAAATTTGAACAAAACGTGAAATAAAATTCAAAATAAAAAGAAAACACCTGGGCTTAAAATGAAGGTTAGTAGGCTAAAAAAAAAAAAAAAAAATACAGTTAACAGGAGGAGAGGAAAAACGAACTAAATAAAAACTTTTTTTTTTTTTAAATACTTTGACACAGTCGCAAAAAAAGAAGCAATGGTCCACAAGAAATTTGTTTATTATCAGAAGAACATGATTCTTGCAAAAAGAGAATGCAAAATATTTGTCTTTGCCTTTATGGTTCCTGTACCATGTTGAATTGATTTTGCATGACAGTTGAGATAATGTAAGAGTCTAACTTTAGCCAAAGAACTTGCAGGATTCACAGAAATAATTCTTAGGGTTGGTAGATTTAATATTGTTTAAAAAAACCGATCACTTTAATTAATCTGAGTGAACGTTTCTATAATGGAACAGAATGTGGCAGCTTTATTACCTTACCTTTTTAGAGCTGAAGGTGTTTTTCTATTAATCTATCTACACTATAAACCAAAAGAGTGGGGCCACCCTCTGGATTTGATAATTAGAAAATTTCATACCTTCTTTGGTTTAATTAAATCCTACTAGTTAAGATGCCAAAACTGTTTAACTCAATAGTAAATACAAAGATATATTTAAGGTACTTAGCTTTGAAGTTGAATAGAGTTCTTTGAAATTGCCCTGCTCTTATTAGAGGCTGATAAAGTATTAGATTTTAATTTGACACCAGCGTCATTCAGACATATGGAACTTTACCTTTCTGCTTCCTGCTTGATTTTGCTTTTTCTCTCTCTCTCTGCTTTTATTCAACTTTCTCTGCCTATTCATGTCAAAAAGTGATTTCACATCGGCTCCTTACTTTTTCTAAGTTTGTAAGCCACTCCCTTTTCCATAGGTCAAAATAAATTTTCACATATGCTCGTTAAACTTTGTCTTGGTCTTTTCTTCAGTCTGGAGCCAATCACTTTTTCTATTTGTTAAAATAAATTTTCACATAGGCTCACAAACTTGAAAATTGTGGAGAAAAGAGAGTTATTTTTATTTTGTATTCGCTACAGGTGACATAAGTGCTCATTCATGGAGAATCACAGGTACTTTCCGACTTTCATGGAA